GGAAGGAAATTGTGACACAGGTATCTTTTGTTGTATAAAGTGGGTCAAAGGAATATTTCTTCATGACAATGATGGGATGAAGAGAACTGCTTGAAAGGGTTTGGAACTGGCTTACCTAAAGTTTTGCAACTCCTTAAGAGGTTTTTGTTAAACAGGCTGTTTCTGGGAAATGAGGTCATGGCACCAAGAGGCATTTTCATCCACTCCCAAGACATCTGTTAAAGTTGTGTAAACACCCAGGAGTGATGTTTTATGACACCACCTGAAAGGTATGTAAGACTGAATACCTCTATAATCAGTTCCTGAAATTAATTACAGTGATTTCTATATCTAATTATCCAATAGACGCCTATTCCCCACCCCTACACCCTCCTACTTATGACCTCAAACAAAGACTAACCAATCAGACAACTGTATGATAATTATTTTGTTCCATGGATTATACCTGCCATAGTTAGAAGTTGTTGGTTAGTGTCATCATTTCTCATTTATGTGGGCTGGTACCTTCCTACATCTGGCTGTAATTTTTCCTGAATAAATCCTCTTGATTTCATTTTCACAGAGTGGGTTTTCTCTCTCCAGCAATTGTATTCACGCTGTATACATTACTGGACTGTTAGCCACTTGGTAGCCGTCTCAGTTATCAGATCAACTGTTGCAGTATCACAGTGGTTGAATTCAAGTAACCCTTACTTTACTTAATAATTGTTCTATTGTATTATTAGCTATTATTGTTAATCTCTTACTGTACCTAGTGTATAAATTAAACTTTATCATAGGTATGTAAGTATAGGAAAAAACATAGTATATACAGGTTTGATGTTATCTGAGGTTTCAGGCATCCACTGAGGCTCTTGGAATGTGTCCCCACCTCCCTACCCCTCCAGCAAGGATTAGGGGTGGGTGACTGTAAGAGTTGTAAATTTCCTTGTTGAAATAAGGGAAGAGGCTCCCCTTTTCCCCTGTTCTTTCAGAATTCACCTTAGATAACTTATTGTGATTATAAATTATTCCTCTTTTAACATAAAAAGTATGTTAATCAAGAACATTTCTTCAAAGACCTGGGTACCATCTCTTTTCAAATATATGCAAGGCGAAAGGAAGATCACACCCCTCCCTCCTGGTCTCCTGGAAGGAGATCAGCGTAACTTCAGGTATTCTGCCATGAAGATATTAGAAATGAGCAATTTTATTG